CAAAATTTATTGAAACAAACAAAGTTAAACCATTAATTGATACAGTTTTTGATTGGAGAAAAGATGGTGTAGAAGCATTATATTCACTATATGAAAAATCTAAAAGTGGAAAAGCACAAGGAAAATTAATTCTTAAAATAGCTGATGAAGAATAATAATTAAAGACTTTTTTTATCAGAATAAATTAATACGACGATTTTTGGATCTATTTTTGCTTAGATCTAGAATAGTGCAAGTTCAAAAATTTTGAGAAATCCATCAAAAGTATTATTGATAAGAGCGGGTAAAGCAACTAAGATGGCGATTTCGATCTTGAGGGTGTGGGCGATGCGAGAGATGAATAAAATACCTACGCCCTCAAGATATTGTAATTGTTATCGAGAAAATTAAATGAATAATTAGTATATTTTGTTTTGAATCATTTACAATGAAAAAAAAATTTCTAAAATAGTTCAGTTTAAAAATTATTGTGTTTGTTGAATGTTTCGTCTTATGTTTAATGTTATTGCAATTTGTTGTTGTGTTGGTTCTACTCTATTAGTAAGAGAACATAATTCTTTTATCTTTGTTACAATTTCAGGGAGACTAACTAAGCAGATAAATGGCATTAATAATGATACAACATATGCTACATAAGCCAAATAAGTTATTGTAACGCCATAAAGAAATAATGGATCAATCCAAGTTCGAATTAATCCGAGAATGATGAATGGTAAATAAATACTTAGAAAAAGAAAAGAAATTGAGAAAAGTTGAATAGAAAGTTTACGAGTAGTACGCCAAGCATTACCGCGTCTCATCTTATATTTTTGATAAATTACTCGTATAAGAAGGATAATATTGAAAATAACAATTAATGCAACAGGTATCATTGAACTAATTATCCAATCAATTGTACCAATCACTGCATTATATAGATAACATGCACCAAAACACCATGCTTGTGTATAATCAAATTGTTGTTGACATGGATAAAAGAAAATAAGTATAAAATAGCAGATAGATAAGAAAATGGGTGGTAAAAAAATGGGGAGATAATGTTTGAGATAAGAATTCATCCAATGTTTATGAAATATGAAAATATATCTTTGAACTGATGCTATTGCCATAATCCATGCATTTGATGGAAAAAGAAGAGACTTAATATAAACCCAATAAAGACAAAGAGAATAAGATGATGGAATAAGTTCACCATGATAAAGATATATAAGAGTAATAGGTAGTTCCACGGTTATTATAAGAAAATTACATATTAATAAACATATTACACTAAAAGAAATTTCTTTTATTATTTCGAAAATAAGAAATTTGAGGAAAATACTTACACATGATGATGTCGTTTTGCTTGTAATTCTCGTAAACGAATAAAATAATAGAATATAACCAAATTGCAAAGAACCGAAGGAATTTGACAACTAATCAAAATATTAAATTTAATTGATCGCCTGAACGAACTTTCCCATGAAGGATAAGTGTTATTTTCATAGCCCAAAGTTTCATTGCTACCAACTGACATTTTTAATAACCACTTTCAAAATGGTTAAAAGAATACTGATGATGTTGCAAATGGGGTTGTAGAAAAACGTAGAAAGAGAAAAACGTAGAAATGAAAAAGACTACAGTAGAAAAATTTAATGGTAGACATACAAATTCTGCAAATCCAGACCAAATAGAAGCAAAACTTTTACGTGTTAGAACGAATATTAGCCGTCTCTTCTTATGAATTAATAAATATACTACTTAACATGCATAAAAAAATGATTAATCATTTCTACATTTCCCTTTTCTATTTTTTTTTTTCTACGTTTGTCTTTTCTATGTTTTTCAGCAAGACCTTGAAAATTAAGTTTACTTATTTTAAACTTCAAAAGTAGGACGTATATTCTCAACATGCTTTGATGCATTTTGATAATTCATTATGTACGTCTCAAATTATGAATAGGCATGATTTATGAAAAAAAAAATTCTATTCTAATTACATTCTACTTATGAGACTAGATATTTTTGTTTTTCATGAAATTAAATTTATATGACATTAGTAATCATAAAATAGTCTGAATTTGATTTGGAAGTAGACAAATAGAATAATTAAATGTTTTATTCAGTTTGTATAATGGGAAGATTATCGTATTCCTCAGATTTTGGATCATTGTGGTTACGTGACATCTATTATATCATTCTGGGAAAAAACTCTCATTAAAAATCATCTCTTTTTTAATTATTCATACGGGGCCATGTTGAGCTCGCATTCTAAACATACTTTGTAAAAATTTATCATGAATAACACGTAATTATTTTTATATTTAACAACATAGAATTTCTGATTATAATTATGATGTTTAGAGACTAGTTAGAAGTAGAATGACATTATAGATACACAGGAACTGGCGCCTATACCTCCGCATGATTTCTTTCCTTTTGGTTATTTTTTTACTGAGGCTAATGAGAGTATACAAGAACACATAATCATTTCGTGAACTTTTTTACTCTTAGCAAAAAATCGACATATTCGAGAAAGAACCATTATCAACATATAATCATCTCCCGCTTATGATAAGATCTTTATCTCGTCTATGGCTGCATGAATAATTACCAAATTTTCACTATATATACAATCAAAGGTTCTCTACAAAATAATATTAAAATCATCTTACTAACGAATACTGCCTATCATAATAAATTCCATTTGTAGCACCTATGTTTCGATGCATGACAAACATTAATTAGTCTATAACTTCACAATGCCGCTCAACTAATAAGCGAAACTTTTGTCACCAATGTAGCTTTATATACTTTCTCAAATAATAAAATAAACCCAAAAACATTATCTTGGTGTCTATTAACAGGATTCAGTTTTCTGAGGAGATAGAGCCTCTGAGGCAAAACATATATAGGAGAATGGCCAGCTTTTTCGATTTTTATGAAAAATAAATACCATATTCGGGATTAATGTGTAAAAATACATCGGAAACACTAGTTTTTATTCTGAAATATTTTCCGTCAAAATTTGACCTTGTAGGGAAGCACAGGTCAAAATTAAACAAAAAAATGCTGAGGTGGGATAGAGCGAAAATTTTGATGGTCATTTTTAACATAAAGAATAAAGTTTTTGGTAAATTTTTGTGCGCTGATTCTGAATATCATCTTGAGGGTGGGTGTGGGTGTGAGCGTCGAAGATGATATAGTTGGAGAAAAGATTATA